TCAATAAACGAGGTATTCAAATATCAGTTTGATCATAGAAGAGTAGCCTAAGAGTTAGCGGTGGGTAATGTACTAGTTGCATTCCCTGTAGTTTATCAGTTCACAATTAGAGAGCGCGCGAACTTTTGAAACAAACAAACAATGCGTTGAGTAATATCCAACATTCGCATTGTTTGTTTGTTTCAGAAGTACACACGCACAATGTTGGATATTACTTAATGAACGCATTGTTTGTTTGTTTCAGAAGTTCACACGCACAATGTTGGGTGTTACTCAAAGAACGCATTGTTTGTTTGTTTCAGAAGTACACACGCACGAACGCATTGTTTGTTTGTTTCAGAAGTTCACACGCACAATGTTGGATATTACTCAAAAAATTTGAGTAATATCCAACATTGTGCGTGTGTACTTCTGAAACAAACAAACAATGCGTTCTTTGAGTAATATCTATATGTTCACATATAGTATTTGCCTACTACTTCCAAGCAAACACATCAAGAGAACCAGCCATTTTGAAAGGCTTAATTTAGACTTAGTTTAAAATTTCCAAATCAGCTAATCTTTTATAATAATAATAATAAAAAACACTAGGAATTTTTTAGCAAATAATGCATTACAAACAATATGCCCTCCCGGTGGTTCAGCGGTAAGTAGGAAAGGCATATTTCGCTATATATGGGATTTCGATACCAGCAGTGGGCAGATCACAGCTAGCCCATTTCGTCGCTTTGTGATTAACACCAAATGAATACTTAAGTTTCACGTTTTTTTTTTAACTTTTCGAACTTTGTGTCATGACGCACGAGATGTTACAAACATCAAACTTTATGACGCACGAGATGTTACAAACATCAAACTTTATGACGCACGAGATGTTACAAATGACACTATGTGTCACGGTTAAAAATGACAGATTTATTTTGAACTGTTATATAAAAACGTAGCATTCATTTGTGCTACTAGAGAATGATGCTGCTTTTAAAACCCCGAATAATTTTACATTAATAAAAACATTCGCGCTCACTAAATGTAAGAACAAGATACTGAGTATCAGTCAACTTACAGAGGCAATGTTCTCGAAAACGAGGTTTTGATACTTTACTGAATGTTTTGAACCCCTTGTTTTGCTGTCTTGGTTTTTACTGAATATTTTTAACCGCTGTTTTGCCATCTTGATTTGATTGAATGGTTTAATAGCCGTTTTGCCATCTTGAGTTGACTGAATGTTTTTAACCGCTGTTTCTCCATATTGATTTGACTGAATGGTTTAACTGCTATTTTGACATCTTGAAAATAATTTAATATATCTTACTATTAATTTTAAACCGCCTTGACAGGGTTTTTATGATTTTACTGTTTTATTTAAATTTTCATTTGCCGTCTTGACAGGGTTTTTATGTTTTTACTGTTTTATTTTAAATTTTCATTTGCCGTCTTGACAGGGTTTTTATGTTTTACTGTTTTATTTTAAACCTCCATTTGCCGTCTTGACAGGGTTTTTATGTTTTTACTGTTTTATTTTAAACCTCCATTTGCCGTCTTGACAAGGTTTTTATGTTTTTACTGTTTTATTTTAAACCTCCATTTGCCGTCTTGACAGGGTTTTTTGTTTTTACTGTTTTATTTTAAACCTTCATTTGCCGTCTTGACCGGGTTTTATGTTTTTACTGTTCTATTTTAAACCCCCATTTGCCGTCTTGACAGGGTTTTATGTTTTTACTGTTTTATTTTAAACCTCCATTTGCCGTCTTGACAAGGTTTTATGTTTTGACTGTTTTATTTTAAACCTCCATTTGCCGTCTTGACAAGGTTTTTATGTTTTTACTGTTTTATTTTAAACCTCCATTTGCTGTCTTGACAGGGTTTTATGTTTTTACTGTTTTATTTTAGCCCATCATTGTGTCGTCTTGACAAATGTGATTATAATGGATTACGGATTGATTTATTGTTGGTTCTAGGTGTGGTTCCAGAAGCTCAGGGCCCAGTAGAAACAGCATGAAATACTTGGGAGGGATAAAGTATTAATACTTTACAATTCATGGTCTGCATGACTACAGTGGGTTAGTATTAATCTATTGCAAATTATAATACGTTGTATATTTATTTTGGTTCTAGGTATGGTTCCAGAACCGCAGAGCTAAGTGGAGACGTCAAGAAAGACTTGAGAACGAGAATACACTTCGATCATTAAGACCCACTAAATCGTCAGACTGTCCTCTCGCCGGTGCAGGAATGACTACCAATTCCATGAACTACGTTTCCGGGCCATGTCCATCTCTTGGGTTAAGCTCCTCCTCTATGTTGACAGGCGCAAGTATGCAGCGTCTGACGTTGGATTCCTGGATGACCCCACCCAGAATGGGTCCGCCTCTTTCCGACACCCTACCGGGCTTTCTGGCACACTCTCCTTGTATGTGCCCGAGCTATGTAACGCCCTCTACCCTACCGACAGCGTCCGTTTCCAACTCCACAGCGTTCAGTGGACCACCTACCGGGAACATCTCCATTTGTTCGGGAATGCTGGGTTCTTCTAGTCCTCTAAACTTGTCCGTGAATGAGATGGACTTCACATTTGCAGATTCAAAACCAACAGATCTTAGAAGTTCCAGCATTTGTGCATTACGATTAAAAGCAAAGGAACACGTTAATTTGATAAGTAAAAGATTAACTTCAGTCTAAAAATTTCAAATAAGGGTTAACAACTTACTGACATATAGTTAGTAAGTTGACCCCACAACCAGATGACGTGTATGACTGTTTATGATAAACGTGTGTGACGTAGTTAAATTTTGATTTGTGCGTCGATCCCATAAACTCAAGAGAAAAATCAACATTCTAGTATTAATAAATTGATTTCCAATTATTCAGAGGAAACGCTCATTTCAGACTTATATGGTGGTTTAATATTTAACTTCACAACTTAGAAATTACTAATTTCTCAAACCTGAACTATTTTGAATTAAATACACTTTCTGTAGCGTGTTTTAAACAGCTAAATAAAGTTTTAACATATATATATTAACAGGTTGAGTACGTTATTATATAGTTTTAACATATATATATTAACAGGTTGAGGAGTACGTGTTAATATATGTGTTAAAACTATATAATAAGGTTGAGTACGTTATTATATAGTTTTAACATATATATTAACAGGTTGAGGAGTACGTTATTATATAGTTTTAACATATATAT